GTCTTTTCCGCATCAGGAAATTGCAGAACCTTAACCTTGCTAATAATTATTTTTATTATCCTAGCATCTCATTTGGGTTCCACCGTTGGAAAAGTTTGACATCTCTCAATCTCTCAGGTACAAGATTTCATTACTTTCTTTTGTTTGAAATCTCCATGCTTCCAAAATTTTTTTTCACTTGCTCTAGTTTGACAAATCTTTAACCGTGCAGGTTCGGCATATATGGGTGACTCTCTCTTGTTTGAGATCTTCTCGCTACCAAAATTAGTTTCACTCGATCTCTCTTATAATTATCCTTTGCTTCTTGACAACATGAAGTTTCAAATGCTTGTACAAAACTTAACAAAATTAAGATTTCTTATCCTTGATACTATGAATATGTCTCTGATTGTTCCTTCTTCCTTGCTAAACTTGACTTCCTCCATCGAGTATTTGAGCCTTAGAGCTTGTTGTTTGCAAGGAAACTTTCCAAAGCAAGTTTTTCAGCTTCCATCTCTTCAGCTTCTTGATTTAAGCTACAACTCTCATTTAAGAGCTAATTTGCCTCAGTCAAACTGGAGTAGTACCCTCGAGTATCTGAATCTTGCAAAAACAAACTTCTCAGGAGAGTTGCCTGATTCAATAGGAAATCTTAAGCTCCTGAGGGAATTGGAACTTCATGATTGCCAATTGTATGGATCAATTCCTAGATCTCTTGCAAATCTTACTAAGATAACCTTCCTAGATTTTTCTCTCAACCTTTTGCAAGGGCAGATTCCACAATTATTTGGAAAATTGCATAAGCTAACTTATTTGAGGTTAGATGCAAACAATTTTGGTGGTGAAATTCCTGCATCAATCTTCAACCTCACCCATCTTACTTCCTTGTCTTTGTCATCAAATAAGCTATTAGGTCGAGTACCATCTTGGTTGTTTTCTCTGCCTTCTTTATACTCTTTAGACCTCAGTAACAACAGATTTACAGGTTCAATTGATCATATAGAGACGCCTAACCTCATTTTAGAAGATGTGTTTTTGTCCAATAATGAGATAAGTGGTTCGATCCCTAGCTCTTTTTTTGATCTTGTAAAGCTTGTTATTGTTGACCTTTCTTCAAATAATCTAAGTGGCACCATTACACCCAACCTACTTTCGAAGCTTGTGCACCTTGAGACTCTTGATCTTTCTTCTAATAATCTAAGTGGCACCATTACACCCAACCTGCTTTCGAAGCTTGTACACCTTGAGACACTTGATCTTTCCAATAATGGTTGGCTATCTTTGAACAATAATGACACTGATGTCAACTATTCCTTCTCAAGCCTTAAGTATTTAATGTTATCTTCTTGCAACATATACAAGTTCCCAAGTTTCTTAAGGAAGGTAAAGAGTTTGCAAGTATTGGATATTTCCAAGAACAAGATTTCTGGTCACATTCACAAATGGGAAATAGAAGGGATGTCATTGGACACATTAGACCTTTCTTATAACTTCTTGACTGGTATTGATTCATTTGATTTTGGACATCTTGAATCTATTGACCTTAGATCCAACTTGCTACAAGGATCACTTCCCATTCCATCAACAACTTCGGATGTTATACAGCTACTCTTCATTTCAGGAAATAATTTGACCGGAGAAATCCCATCTTCTTATTGCAATTTGACTTCTCTTACAATTCTGGACTTAGGTAATAATAGTTTGGGAGGGAAAATTCCAAAATGTCTTGGAAACTTAAGTGATCTCTCCATCTTGGACCTGCAGATGAATAAGTTTCATGGTGTAATACCAAATTCTTTTGTCAACAGGAGTAAAGTGAGTACTCTCAAACTAAATGGCAACCAGTTGGAAGGGAGACTGCCTCCATCTTTGGTTAATTGCGATGACTTGGAAGTTCTAGATGTGGGGAACAACTACTTGAATGACACCTTTCCGCATTGGTTAGGTGTTCTTCCATGGCTACAAGTTCTCATCCTTCGATCTAATCGATTTCATGGTGCCATTACCAATTCTAGGCCTGCATTTTACTTCCCTCAGTTGAGAATCATTGATGTCTCGCAAAATGATTTCATGGGTCTCCTACCGAGTGGTTATTTCAGAAATTGGACATGCATGAAAGATGTAACTCCAGCTGATATAGCCAAATTGAAATACATCGGTGATACTGATAATTATTATAATGATTCAGTGAAGGTAGTACTGAAAGGCTTTGAGGTGCAGCTTGTAAGGATCTTTACAAGTTTTACAACTATTGATTTCTCGAGCAATCAATTTCATGGGCGGATTCCCGAGGAGCTAGGAGAACTTAATTCACTTATATTGCTAAACTTGTCCCACAACAGTCTCACTGGTCAAATTCCATCATCCTTGGGGAAAATGACACAACTTGAATCACTGGATCTCTCATCAAACAAGCTTGAGGGCAGGATTCCTGAGCAATTGACAAATCTAACATTCCTTTCCGTTTTGAAACTTTCACACAATGATCTTGTGGGCCAAATACCTCAAGGGAAGCAGTTCAACACTTTCTCAAATGATTCCTACATTGGGAACTCTGGGTTGTGTGGATTACCGTTGTCAAAGAAATGCCACAACGAGGAAGAACCGAGAGCACCTGCACCAAAATTTGATGAAGAAGATGACTCTGTAGCACCCTTTGAGTGGAAGTTTGCATTGGCGGGTTATGGGTGTGGACTGGTGTTGGGACTTAGTCTAGGATACATTGCGTTCACTATAGGAAAACCGTGGTGGGTGGTGAAGAAGGTGGAGAAATACCAGCAGAAATTTGTTGGAAGGTGCAACGGCCGACATAAGAAGAGAAAAGCACAAGAACCCTACCAACGCTCTTAGGTGAGTAAGTTTCTAAAACTCTCTATATATTTATTGAAAATGTGCAGTGAAATTTAAATTGTATTACACTACGTTACATTAACTATTAAATAAAGGTTTAAGCTTTATATTCCTTCCCATTGAATGGTTCTAAAACAGTTCGGTGTAATCACACCCTAAAACAGAGTTCTCATGTATTGTTTGTGCATGTTCTAAGTTCTACATAATATTTAAACTTAATTTTTCTAATTTTGTTTTATTTTTCATAGGTGCAAGCAGGTGCATCTGATTTCCTATCCCGGAAAGATGTGGCAACAAATTATGTGTCTTTGTTTTGTGTTGCTTCTTGAGTTTGTTTGTTTACATCTTTTTCATGTACATAGTTGATATATGGTTGCAGCATCTAGTATACTTTGGGTATTGTATGAATTTGTGTTGTTTTCTTTTGGATTTGATCTATCTATTCCGCACGTAGTTATCATGTACTTTCTTACTGTAATTTGATCCATTTGTAAGTTGTGTTGATCTGTCTTTCCATATCATATTTCTCTCTTCCTTTGGTTTGGGTAAACGGTGTGTTTTACTAAGTAAAATGAAATTTTCTTAATATGGGAACCCAATCGTCTCCTTCGACCATATTTCCCCGATGAGTTCAAATTTCGAATCAGTGTGGAAGCAGACGAACCTGAGCGATTTCGGATAGTATTAGGAGTGCTAGCTGATGGACGACCGAGACATCCTCTGCTCTCTGGAGTCCCACTCTCAAGCCACTGCCAACGCTAGACATGTAATTGTCCTCTCGTGTTTTACATTCTGTTTTCTTGAGATATTAACCTCGTGCCTTAGTGGGGTAATCTGTAATTTTTTCTGTATGGAATAAATTAATAATTTTAAATGTGCATGAATGGTTTGGTGGGATTTTATTTTTCTTCCTGTAGATATAGTAATCAAGAGATTATTTTGAAGACAAGGGCATTCATTAAACAGCCAATTGGGATTTTGTTAAATAATATCCAGAAATTAGCTGTGGCATTAACATATGTAAGTTCTGAGTTGGAATATTGAAGGAAAGTAATCGTGGATCATAAATTTCTAATTTGTGAACCATTTAAATTTTGTTTGCTTGTACTGCATGGATGGTCAGTCATTCCATGTAGACATCAGTCATTAGATAAATTTGAGTTGAAATTGTTGCTCTAGTGGTAAAATCATCAATGGATACTTTTGCTTACAGGTATACGGCGTATCCTGCAGGCATCCTAAAATTGCAATTCCGTTAAACAGATATATGACCCAAGACACATCTTCAGACGAGGCTTCTGTTGTTATGGCTGGTGTAAGTGCTCATTTTATTTTGCTTCTAGAGGCTAAGAGTTGTTGTTGAAACATAACAAATATCTGCATGTTGTTATTATTATAGTGTGATCTTCATGGTTGATTTACTGTTTCTGGACAAAAGCTAAGATAAAGAAAGTCACATCAATCAAATAATCCACCCCTTTGGCTATGGTGTTGCAGAGTATACTTCAGAGTTCAGTGATGGTTATAAGGAACACATTCTCAGTTTTGGGACTAGAAACCTAAGAGGAGAGGCTCAGAGGATCTGGAAATTTCTTATTGGAGATTGCCATATCAGTTATGGATGTTAAAATGTATGAGTTAC